AAAAAAAAAAGGAAGAGCATCAAAGAAGGAATAAATGAAGGTAAAACAAAATCTTTTATTTTTCTTATGCTTAATTGATCTAAAAAGCAACAGTGTTATTACATGATTATAGCATATAGATAAGTGAAATGAATAACAGCAATGTAATAAGGTATGGGAGGAAGGAAATAGGGATACTCTGATACAAGGTACATGCACTACACATGAAGTGATATAGTGTAATTTGAAAACTGACTTAGATTAGTTATGAATATATATTGCAAATTCTAGGGAAACCACTAAAGATGTCCAGGTTTCAACTGAAAAAATCACTAGAGGTCTCAAACTGAATGAGAAAAGGCAATCATGAGATGCCAGCACTGACATAACATACATGTGAGAATTAATTGACAAGGATTTTCGAGGAGCCATCATAAAAATGCTTCAATGAGCAGCTACAAATATCATTGGAATAAATGAAAAAATAGAAAGCGTTAGCAAAGAAATAGAAGACATGAAGACGAACCAAATGGAGATTTTAGAATTTAAAAAAAAATCAAAATTAAAAACTCATTGGATGAGTTTGACAGACTAGAAATGAGAGAATAATCAGTGAACCTGAAAACAACAATAGGAATTACCTAATCTGAACACAGCAGAGAATAAATAGACTGAAGAAAGAAAACTGAACAGAGGCTTTAGAGACCATGGACTCTCATAAAAGTCCTTAACATTCATGTCACTGAAGTATCAGAAGAAGAGGAGAAAGAAGATGAGACTGAAAAAATATGCAAAGAAATAAAGGTAGAAATTTCCCCAAATTTTGCAAAAAAAACATGAACCTACACTACATTCAAGTGATTACCAAACAGGATTAAACCCAAAGATATCCACACCAATTTACATCAGAGTTAAACTTCTGAAAACTACAGACGAAGAAAAGATCTTGAAAGCACCAGAGCAAACAACACTTCACCCACAGAGGGAAAGCAATTTGAATAAAAATGTATTTCTCAGCAGAAACCATGGAGACCAGAAGGAAGTGGCACATATTTTTCAGATGCTGAAAGAGAAATGTCGACCTAGAAATCTATATCCAGTGAAAATATCCTTCAGGATTTAAGGGGAAATCAAGACATTCACAGATGAATGAGAACTAAGAGAATTTGTGACCAGCAGACCTCCCCTAAAAATAACTAGTGGAAATTTGGTCTAAACAAAGGGGAAGTGATAAAAGAAGGAGTTTTGGAACATCAGGAAGGACAAGAGAACACAGTGATGAAACCAGTGTACACTGAATTATATACTTTAAAATGGTTAATTTTATCTAAAAAATGTTGCCCCCCCACCTTGAAAAAAACAAACACCCAGTGTACACCCACATTGTAGATAGCATAACGAGTTTCTGTTCTTAGGTCTGTATGACTCCAAAGCCAAAGGGCTTTCACTCATTAATTCAGTAATCCTTACTGAATGTCTCTTATATGCCAGTCACTGTTATAGGTGCAGGGATAGTCATGGTCTTTGCCTTCAAGAATCTAAAAACTAATAGGAGAGTCAGCGATGATGGTGCTATGAAATGTTTGCTGTCCATTACACACCCAGTAATCCTTACTGAATGTCTCTTATATGCCAGTCACTGTTATAGGTGCAGGGATAGTCATGGTCTTTGCCTTCAAGAATCTAAAAAACTAATAGGAGAGTCAGCGATGATGGTGCTATGAAATGTTTGCTGTCCATTACACACCTATTAAAATGGCTAAAACTCAAAACACTAACAACACCAAATGCTGGTAAGGATGTGGAGCAACAGGAACTCTAATTCATTGCTGGTGGGAATGCAAAATGATACAACCACTTTGGAAGACAATTTGACAGTTTCTTCCTTTTTTCTTCTTTTTTTCTTATTGTCTTATTTTCAATCGCAGAATATTAATCAGATGAAAAAGAATAGAAATGGCTACATTAATTACTAGTTTCATGAATTGGGGTAGGACTTCCTGGCTATCCCTCAAGGCAGTGGCTCAGAATCCATAAGAAGGCTTTGGAGATACTGCAGAGACCGATGTTGAGCTGTGTGAAGTTGAGGACTTGTGAATCAGCTTCAGTGATTTAACTTGTCTGAGGGAGATGCAGTCAGAGGTGCTGCAAAGCTATTTGAAAATGTCATGTCCATTGGAGAAGCAACAAAAGAGACTGAGGGATTATGCTGGTCCCTCTCAGGGTTCCCTCTAGTAACTCACAGGGTGGAAACGGGTTATAAAACATGGTTTGATCTGGCGCATTTGTTATGTCATCATTACACGTTGGTCTTGCCAAGACCGTTACAGGCTCTGCATTGAAATACTGACCCATACATAAAGCTTGACTGGCTGGGTATGTGCTGCCCTCGATCCTGGCCCTTTTCATGCAAAACTATCTGCAAGTTCACCTAGCTGCATGGTATCATAAACTAGAAAGACATGCTAGGGCTAACTGCATCCAGGTCCTGATTGCCCAGCCACCCTCCTTCACATTTTTGATTAGCTCATATATTATTCATTCACAGCAGTTGATTTCTCTAAGTCACAATGTATCCCTAAGATGATTGGAGAAAAGGAACAGGGGGCCATGGCATCCCAGGTAGGGGTGAAATCTGTGTGCAGTGCCATGGTATGCTGAGCACTTCATGGTCTGACTTCTCTTACTGGTCTTTGCTTTACATTTTCGGTTTCAGCCACTGGAACTGAATCACTGTGTGGGACATTCCCATGTGCGTTATGCTGTGCCTTTGCACATGCTGTCTGCTTGGAATGCTCAGTTTACCCCCTCTTTTACTAATCCTGTAGGACCAAACATATGTTCCATCTCTCCCAGGAAGGCTTCCTGATTTACCCTCATCATACACTGAATTGTACCCTTCTCGTCTCCACTTCTCAGTAATACCCTATGTAATTTCTATCACTTCTACTTATCATATAGTTACCAGTTTATGTCTACCTTTTTCAAAATTATGACCTCATTTAAGA